ACTGTTGGTAAATGATGCATCTGTGATAGCATATGACCTTTATGTCTAAAAACTCCCACCAAGTTGGACCAGATAGCTCTGAACTGCGAATGACTGATCAGAGCAACTTGCAGCAGCTCAGGAAATTTATGAGTTTTTCAATATATCTTTTTCTTGCCAGACTCAATAATGATGTCTTTTGATTATTAACAAAATCTTACGCACCTTAATACAATTCGCATACAAATATCTGAGCCAGTATGTGTAAATATCTAGGAATTCTGGGAAAGTTAACAATGCGTCATGACATGTTCTGTGAAACATGGTCATTAGTTTAAAAACTACTGAAAGTGTAGAGTAGTGCTTAGTGTCCTGTCAAATACAGAGGGAAGTCAGAGAAAATTATGGGGAATAAATCCCACAGCGCTGCAGACCTTACTTTACCTTACCTCACCCTTTTTGTGCAAAACGAGGACAACTTTCATCCACATGGTTGTGGGTACAAAGTACTCCCACTGCAACCGTATGCATTGCTTTAATTGCTATTTCGAATCCTTGGCATGGTTTTCAGCTCTATAAGAACTCCAGCAAGTTTAAACCACTTGGAGCGAAAAAAAAAAAAAATTAACTTCTTTAAAAATCTCAGGCAGTTGTACAACGTCACCTTCCAAAATCGTCTACGATGACAGCAATAATATTCTTTTTTAATGCTTTTAAATTTGTGTGTTTCCAGAATTAGTTTAAGATTCTGTCATGATGACGTTGCACAGGAGTTTGGCTTCATGGGCATGACTGAAACTCTAAAGGACCAGGTCCCCTTCTTTTTTAGGGCTCCATAATTCAGCTCTGACATGTTTGAGCTTGGCTGTTCATTAGAGTACCAAAGCGCTCCCGAAAGGGAGGTTGGTCCCTTATCTCTAAACAGCCCCCCCTCCAACATCTCACCCTAAAGCTAAATCTTTTCCTATAAACACAAGGAGTGATATAAGGTCCAAACAGACTGAGTACATGGCCGCTGGTGGTCAGGTCAGTGCCTGAGAGTAGTTCATGTGTCAGTACACAACGATCGACTCCAGATGCTGAAAGATCTATGGCTGCTTAACAGTGGCTCTGTAATGTGAACATGTAGAATGAGAGCTCACAGACAGACAGAGAGAGAGAGAGAGAGAGAGCTGTACCTCTTCTCTTGTAATGGAGGTCTGGGCCTCACTGTAATTACCTTC